GACACTAAAAAAAGGAAAAACATACTAATTACTGTACAAGGAAAAAAGCGACTTACCCAAATATAAATTTCAGTCAACTTACATATAGCAAAAGTGTTGAACTATAAAGGCGGCGCTAGTGCAACAGAGTTTGGTCCAAAACTGTTTTCGTACTACTTGCAGGAAACCTGCGCAATTGTAAACTTCGTCGGACCAGAGTCATTATAAATGCCAGAGGCCCAACTGATGATACTGTGTTTGTGTTAAGCCCAAAAACCAGGCCCAACTTCAACTCTTTTCTGAATTCTTTAGCACAATAATTAAGAAGTTAAATTCAAAGACCATATGCTAAGGCCACAATGATGAGTTACTCTCTATATAATCCAAAACCAACACACACCATTATAATATTTATTAAAAAACTAGATTGTACATACATCATGTAATATCTTCCGGTGAAGTTAGATCAAATCTTGAGAACTAGCTAGCCAATGGAGGCACACATGTAGTTGATCTCTCCAAAATCTATTACGGATCTCAATGAACGTTGGGTTCTAGTAGATGTGTTTGTATGCTCCTTCGGTCCAAGCAAGTTTTGAAGCAGGCAGCGGCAGTACGGGCGCTTCTGAAGGTCCCGAGTTATTAAGTGACGAAGCGACTAATCCATCGGCGACCTCACGTCTGCTGGGAGCAATGAATTTCATCAGTTGGAACTGCCGGGGCGGGGGGAACTCTCGGACTGTTCGAGAAATTGTGACGCTCTCCCAGTCACACTCCCCCATGCTGGTTTTCCTTTGCGAGACCAGACAGAAAGCAACAAAAATGAGAAGAATTCGTGGACGCCTCGGATTGAAAGGTTTTGACGGGGTGGACAGTAATGGTTTGAGTGGTGGCCTAGCTCTTTTTCTGGCATGAGTCTTTTGTGGTTGAAATCCTGGACAAGGAGGAACGGTATATCGATGCTCTGGTGAAGGTACATGCGGATGCAGAACGGTGGAGAGTCACCTTTGTTTATGGTGAACCACGAGTCGAGAATCGCCACCCCATGTGGGCCAAATTACAGGGTCTAACGAGTGTGTGTGATAGGCCTTGGCTTGTTATTGGTGATTTTAATGAAGCTCTTTGGGATTTCGAACACCTGTTGGCTACCCCTAGACCGGAACAACAAATGATAGCCTTCCAATATACTCTGGAAATTTGCAGCCTGATTGATCTTGGGTTCTCAGGGATTCTGTTTACTTATGATAACCTGCGTGTCGGAGCGAGTAATGTGAAGGTTCGTCTTGATAGAGCTACTGCAAGAAATGAATGGCGCAATCTTTTTCCGTTTTATATAGTACAACATGTGGTGTCACCATGCTCGGATCATGTGGCGCTGGTTTTGAAGGGCGCTCCGGACACGGGCCAGCAAGTCCCCAAACCTAGACGCTATGAAGTTTTTTGGAAAAGAGACTCATCTCTACCGGCTGTTGTTAAGGAGGCATGGGAATCTGTTGGCAATGTGGACAATTTGGAGAAGCTCCAAACAGCGCTAAGGAAGACATTGGCTACACTCAGTACTTGGGGCAGCAAGAAATTCAGCAATATAACAAGGGAACTAGCCAAGTCAAGAACACAACTGGAGGAACTTATGACCATGAATGCAGATAGACAAGAAATTAGAAACATCACTGATAAGATGACGAGCTTTTGTACCAGGAGGAAATGATGTGGCTACAACGCTCAAGAATTACGTGGTTGAAGGAAGGCCACCGCAACACTAAATATTTTCAGAGTAAGGCTGTTTGGCGCGCTCGCAAAAATAAAATACGCGAGCTAACCGACAGTATTGGTGTGGTTCATTCAAACTTTGAGGAAATGGCTAGTATGGCAAATGAGTATTTTCAAGGGATTTTTCCTTCAGACCAGGCGTTGGATGCAACATGGGTTCTTGATTTGCTTGAAGCAAAAGTCACTGAGCATGACAATGCGCGCTTGTGTGCTCCCTGTAGCGATAAGGAGATCTCTGATGCCCTGTTTCAGATTGGACCATTGAAGGCCCCAGGTCCAGATGGTCTACCCGCGAGGTTCTTTCAGCGGAATTGGGACGTGCTACAAAATAGTGTGATTGCAGCGGTCAGGGGATTTTTTGCTTCTGGGATTATGCCGGAAGGGGTAAATTCTACCTCCATAGTTCTTATTCCTAAAATTGCTAACCCCTCCAGCTTGTCTCACTACAGGCCGATTAGTCTATGTAATGTCATATACAAGGTCATCTCAAAGTGCATGGTGAATCATTTAAGGCCATTATTGGATGGCATTGTTTCTCCATAGCAAAGTGCCTTTATCCCAGGGTGTTTGATTACTGATAATGCTCTTGTGGCTTTTGAATGTATCCACTACATTAAGCAAGAAAAGGATCCTACAAAAAGCTTTTGTGCTTACAAACTCGATCTCTCAAAAGCATATGATAGGGTGGATTGGAAGTTCTTGAAGCAGGTGATGCAAAAGTTGGGTTTCTCTCAACGATGGGTGGACTGGATAATGTCTTGTGTCACATCGGTGAGATACTCTGTCAAACTTAATGGGACCCTCTTGGATTCATTTGCACCGTCGCGTGGGCTTCGGCAGGGCGATCCGCTATCCCCCTTCTTGTTCCTTTTTGTGGCTGATGGACTTTCTGCAATTCTGAAGCAGTATGTGTCTAGTGGTGATATTACACCTGTCAAGGTATGTAGAAGAGCTCCAGGGATCTCACACCTATTGTTCGCTGATGATACTATGTTATTTTTCGAAGCAAACCGTGCTCAGGCCGAAACAATAAAGCTAGCATTGGATCAATATGGAAATGCAACGGGTCAAAGTTTGAATTTTGACAAGTGCTCAATTCTTTTTGGCGAGGCTTGCCCTTATGTCAGACAGGAGGAAATCAGAGGAGTTCTCAATGTCACTAGTTAGGTTTTTGAGGAGAAGTACCTTGGACTCCCCACGCCTGATGGTCACATGTCTAAGGGAAGATTTCAGAATCTTCAGATAACTAAAAGATTGCTCTAGTGGGGAGATGGTCACCTTGCTCAACCAGGGAGGGAGACACTCATTAAGTCTGTTGCTCAGGCCCTTCCCACTTATATGATGGGGGTCTTTAAATTACCCTTTTCAGTGTGTGATGAACTTACTAGAATGGTAAGAGCCTTTTATTGGGGAGCTGAGAAGGAGAAGAGGAAAGTGCACTGGCGGGCATGGGATAATCTGATGCAACCAAAGAGTAAAGGAGGTGTTGGTTTTAGAGATTTCAGAATTTTTAACCAAGCACTATTAGCTAGGCAAGCATGGAGATTAATTACAAAGCCTGACAGTCTATGCACACTAGTGTTAAAAGCAAGATACTATCCAGATGGTAAACTTGAGGATACTGTTTTCGCCGGAAATGCTTCTTCTTCTTGGCAAGCTATTAGCTACGGTCTTGAACTCTTGAAGAAGGGTCTGATTTGGAGAGTTGGAAACGGAAGAAATATACGTGTTTGGCGTGACAATTGGATACCCAGACCCTTCTCTTATAAACCTTTCACTTTACAAGGGTGGTGCAGAATTCGCTTCATCTCAGATTTGCTGAATGAGAACGGCTCATGGAAGGTTGGCTTGTTACAGAAATTCTTTATGCCAGCGGATGTTGTGGAGATTTTGAAAATCAGGGCGTCGCTAAGACAGGAGGATGATACGTTGACGTAGGGCCCTGGCAAGTTTGGCGCCTTTTCAGTGAGGAGTGCGTACCAGTTCGGCTTTGAGGAAGCTCACAGAAGCACTTCGACGGGCTCCAGCTCACGTCTAGATGGGCGTCGGGACTGCTGGAAATTTATATGGTCGACTGATGTTCCTCCTTCGGTTCGTAATTTCACATGGCGGGTCGCTACAAACTCTCTGCCTACATGGAGTAACAAGCATACAAGAGGGTTGGAAACTAGTGATTTGTGCCCTATGTGTTCGATAGAGTCCGAGGACTGCTTCCATGCACTATGTCGCTGCACCCTTTCGAGAGTTCTCTGGGATGCTATGGCAGAAGTATGGACTCTTCCAAATATTACTACCGTGCAGAATACAGGTGTCGAGTGGCTGCTGCACGCTCTTGCTCCTCTGCTGGATATTGAGCGTCCGATGCTTCTCATGACATTGTGGAGGGCGTGGCACATACGCAATGAGATTGTCCATAATAAATCCCCGCCACCCATGGAGGCTTCTCGAAGGTTCTTGATGAGCTACTTGGATTCTCTAATTGGCATTAAATCTAATTGCCGATCCTAGCAAAGGGAAGTCAATCATAACATATACTTCAGTTCGGCCACATGCGGTAATGGTCGTAGCAGACCCCAAGTGGACTGCTCCTAAGCCCGGCTGGGTTAAGTTGTGTACTGATGGTTCATTTGCTGTTGATGGATCGGCCGGTGCTGGAATGGTGTTAAGAGACGACAAGGGAGCCATCATCTTCTCTTCCTGTATGTAGGCAGTTATTTTCTTGCCGGGATGCACTTGAAGCTGAATTATGTGCATGCATGGAAGGTTTATCTTTCTCCATCCATAGAAGTGAGCTACCAGTGCAGATCGACATGGATTCTATAATTGCAGTGAAATTGATCCAGGCTTCAGAGGTTGACAGATCGGTATATTCGTCCATCATCAAGGAGATTAGATATCTTATGTCTCTACGTGAAAATTGTATTACTCATGTAAGTCGTAGCCAAAATAAAGTTAGTGATAGCTTAGCTAAATTTGCTCGTAGTGAGGGTAGAACCATGACTTGGTTAGGTTTTCGTCCTCCTGAGGCTTTGGAACTAGCTGCGATTCATTGTAAGGACTTTGGTGGATGAGTAATACAAATTTCTACCCGCAAAAAAAAACAAAGACCATATGCTAAGGCCACAATGATGAGTTACTCTCTATATAATCCAAAACCAACACACACCATTATAATATTTATTAAAAAAACTAGATTGTACATACATCATGTAATATCTTCCGGTGAAGTTAGATCAAATCTTGAGAACTAGCTAGCCAATGGAGGCACACATGTAGCTGATGATGCAAGTTTCATCGCCAACCCTACGGAGCACCTTGCAGCAGTCCTTGGTGATGCACACTTCGCCGAAGATTAGAGCCTGGAGGCCCGCGCACTTCCACGGTGTCTCTGTCACAGACCTATAGCAATTGGCTTTTGGAGGTGGGGGGAATCTAAAGGGGGCTCCACATCTATGGAAGAAACGGCTACGAGGAGGAGGCAGAGTGAGAGGAAGAAGAACCAATGGCTTGCCATTGTAGCAGACTGGTAACTCAAGATAAGAATGGATGGATGTTGTTGTACCATAGCGTCATTGCTACTATTTATAGTGAGAGTGCGTTTTTTGGGGGGTTCTGGTTCAACGGGTACTCAATTTATTGGCATTGATGACACGGTCCAGAGGATTTAATCACATGCCCCTTATTACATAGGGCGTTATTGTTACTATGCCTTATTTTTCTCTGTCTACTTGATTACATTCCATTTTTCTGTCTGATGGATGCATATTGTTAGTAGTCTGATGCCTAGTGGTTCCCTATAGGCGATGAACACCTATACAAGCAACATTAAACATTCTTGCGTGAATGATCCACATATATGAAGGTACTAGACAAAACCACCATATTTGAGGCTATGGTAACATGATGTCACAACATTCAGGGGAAATCACACTGAACCACCAAATTTGGGGGCCACAAATAATTAATCGTTTGCGAAAAAGCCAAATTGATTCATGGGTCCTGCCTGTCGAGCCAACGTGGCATGCCTAGGTGTACAATTTGCCGAGTTGGAGAACGAACATGCAAAAGCTTTCTGCATAGATATCTTTCTGAATTCTGATGACATGTGAGTTTATTAAGGTAACGTGTCATCATATTGTGCCAGAGAAACCAATGCGGCATGACAACCATATCACATTGATACTAAGAAATATCACATTTGCTAGCCAATAATCATGACATTGTTTTTAAGAAGAACTCGTGGAAATGAAAATAAGTTACGAGAACGTACTGTTTGCATTGATACAGCCCAAGACGTAACATAATCGATCTTAGTTTGAGAAGCTTAGAGCAAGGACATGGTACAGAACAACTCACCAATGTGTATTCATGCATAAGTTGTTTACTTCTATTAAGGGCACCCCGCTGATTGTGGTAACGGCAACGCTAGCTTTTAGAGCTAAACTAACGAACTACAACTATTTATAGTCATTGGCGTCCTTGTCATCGAGTTTGTTAGTCTGTGAAAACCACCCATGAGAAATATCCCAACAGAATAGGCTGACATACGTGGCTTGTGGAATAATCCATGGCGTTGCATGGAGAAGGCCATCCATGGAAGCAAAAGAAGACATATGGCAAAGAAGAGGACACGCGTATCTATATATTAGTTGTTTCCCATAGAGGCATGATATTATATTTCTTTTTCGTATGTAATCGAGTGACACATCGCATCTTTCCACAAGCTCAAGCAGGGGCGGACCCAGAACAAAAATCACCCGGTGTCCACGTGTACACCAAACTCAACAATCTAAAATATTCGATGACAAAAAATCTTTGCCAAAATGAAGCGTTTCATTTGAAATTTTAGTTGATTATGTATAGTTGAAATATAAAACACAAGAAACCCAAATAATAAAAACAAATATGATGAATGACCAACTCAAAAAAAAAAAGTTCAACGAGGGCAACATGAATTCCCCTAATAATTTGCCGCTTATTATATTATCACAACTGCACAATTGAGTTACATTATTTGTCTCATTATATTTATCACAAATCCCCCCTAAAAATGTGTCTTACTGGTGTCACATACGGTCGAAAAGTCCAGAATTGCAAATAGATGTGAATCACCAAGACAAAAATATCAGATAGCGGTCTCATTATCACTTGTCACACTCTTAAATTTGAAAACTCTAACCATATATTTAGGCAACAAGAATTTGAGATATGAACACATTCTTGATTGAGCCATACATATTTCCATCGATTATTTAGTGGTCTGCGTCGGCCAACAGGCGAGGGCAGGGGCAGGTTGATGGTGTCATTCTCCAGCCGACCGCGGGCTGGTGACTGGCGACGGTGCGACCCAGTGGAGGCGAGCATGCTGCAGCAGAATCGGCGCAAGTTAGGCACGTACATACAGAGCATGTTAGACATTAGAGCCATCTCATGTTAGGCACGTACGTACAGAGTATATAAGACCAAAACAGACGACCTGATCCATCGATAGCGCCACTCCTACTAGACGGGTGTGCATGCGGCTGCGCGAATACTCGCCGGGTATTTCTCTCTATGTCTTTGTCTCGTTTCAGCCGGTGTCCAACTTTAATTTTTAACGGTGTCCAGGCACAAAATACGTACTATACATAACTTAAGCTGGATTTCTACCCGGTGTCCAGTGACACCGGCTGGACCAACGTAGATCCGCCCCTGAACTCAAGGGTTCAATTTGACAAATACAATGTTTTTACTAGGAGGGGGTGGGGGGCTATTTTTGAGGCAATTAACAAACCTGACAATGAGTACTAGGGGTACGAACTAAGGGCAGAGCTTAGCTATGGCGCACGTGTATCACTTGAATTTAGCAAGTTCAGACCTCTCTCAGAAAGGTCACAACCCTACGTCTCGTGCCCGAGGGCTTGTGTTTTCTCTTCGGGGTGTATGATTACAATGGATGTTGAACACTTGTCATGAAGCTGAGGGGAGGCTTAAACATAGTGCAGCTCGGCCCATTAATGCCATGTTACAAGGGGTTTAATGAGCATAACTACATCAGTTATTGGTAACAGCAGCTATAACTACACTTGAAGTCTGAGATTAAGGCACCCGACCGTTGGGAATCCCACACCGCCTCCATGCCTCCACTGTGCGAGTGATACTGGCGAGGCCGACTGGCGGGAAGACGTTCGAGTGATGTTGGAATATCCAGGTGGACTTCTAGGGGTGCGCATCCGAATGCGCCTGTGGTCCAGGGACCTTCCAATGATGGTGTGGGACTCTAGGTGGGCCTTAGATGTCAAGACCTTGACCTTATCAGTAATAGGTGACCCCGTCAACTATAGCTATGACCATCCGCATGCCTATAGTCTAGTATCATGAGCGACAAGAATGTTACAAGGCTGGTTGTATGGTACACGTGGCCCATCAAGGATCAAACCTATGGTACTTGACCCTTTGGTGTCGCATTAGTATAGATTATTCTTTCAATGGGGGTCACATTACCATTGATGGATGACGCGCATAATGATTTAGTCAATCATGAAGCTCCATAACTCTGACATGATACCCCCATTACCATTGATGGATGACGCGCATAATGATTTAGTCAATCATGAAGCTCCATAACTATGACATGATCTTCAGTACAAGATGTCTGAGTGTGCATGTGTATGCTTACATTATAATCGGTGTTTAAAAAGAAGTACCCTGATGGTCATTGCGCCCGCGTTTACCGCCACTACAACATGGTTACAACCATTTATTACATTTTATATCTGACTAATATAGGTGATGAGCACCCACAAGCAAGATTAAATCGTGTTGCATGAATGATCGACAATAATGAAGGTAATTGTTGGAAATGTTAGCACCTTTTTGATTAATCTAACCCACAAGCACATGATAAAGTTGGCAGTCACAATATGCACTTCATACTGATACCTAAGCATGTGAGCATGTACAGTACATAGAACCGTAACATCCATGAGCACAACATATACGGCTAGCACATGAACGAGCAAATAGAGGATGGACGAATCATACCCTCTGGTTGGCGAGGGAAATGCGGCGGCGGCGGCAGCAGCCTGAGCATCCTCCACGGTCATGGAGTCGATGCAAGGGAAGTAGTCAAAGCAGAGGCCGATGATGATGAGAATGAATCAGGAGCAATTGCGCCAAGACGCTGCCCAAAAATCTTATCGCCATTCTCTTGAGCAGGATCTGAAATGACGGGGTTCCGGAGGCAGCTGCTCTCCCAATCAACTGTGCACATGGTCGTTGGGATGGGATCGCTGGAAGCAGCACAATGAGAGAAACAATAGATGACAACTAGGGTCATGCAGGAGGGAATGAGTGAGTTAGGGCTCACTCCACATGCCAAAGCCTCCTTATATAGGCCGTCAACAAGATGGGACTGGGCTTAGGCCCGCAATCGAGTCCAGTAATAGCCCACAGTCCAATGTCTCGGAGAGTGGCACTTCTGTTTGTGACTTGTTAGATAATCCATAATTAATTAACCATTCCCGACCGACAAAACTAAGACTGGGCTCATTCCCGCAACCCGCAGCGAGCGTGGTTGAGGGAGTCCTGGACTAAGGGGTCCTCGGGCGTCCGGCCTGTTATCCGATGGGTCGGACTGATGGGCTATGAAGACATGAAGACTGAAGACTATACCCGTGTTCGGATTGGACTCTACTTGGCGTGGAAGGCAAGCTAGGCGACCGATTATGAAGATTCCCTCTTATGTAACCGACCTCGTGTAACCCTAGATCTCTCCGGTGTCTATATAAACTGGAGAGCATAGTCCGAATAGGACAGATTCATTACCATATACTCATAGGCTAGACTTCTAGGGTTTAGCCATTACGATCTTGTGGTAGATCAACTCTTGTAATACTCATATTCATCAAGATCAATCAAGCAGGAAGTAGGGTATTACCTCCATAGAGAGGGCCCGAACCTGGGTAAACATCGTGTCCCCCGTCTCCTGTTACCATCTATCCTAGACGCACAGTTCGGGACCCCCTACCCGAGATCTGCCGGTTTTGACACCGACAATGGTCGCTAGGCGGACGGCGGAGGAGGAGGAGCGCGCATGTAACACTCTACTTCCCAAGCTCCCAATGGAAAGTTGTAGAGGAGCCCTTATAAAGGGGTCACCCTCTCCTCCCTCCCTCTCTCTCTCTCTAACCGTCCATGGAGAGGATGGCAGGTGCACGAGAGGGAGTAGTGGTGCGGGCCACACAAGAGCTTGATGGTTGGTCATGGCAGCTACCGAGCGATGGTAGGCCGAGAGATGAAGAATGAGGTGTCGCTGGAGGAAATATAAAGATCCCATCCTCGAGGATAAGATCACTTCTGCAACCGCCTTGTTGCGCTCTTTCCTTCCCCTCAGACTAGCTCTCCCCCCTTCCTTCCTCATCCACCTTCTACCTCGATGTCAGAGCATGCCAGTTGATGTGGTTTTTGTAGGGGAACATAGTAATTTCAAAAAAATCCTACGTACACACAAGATCATGGTGATGCATAGCAACG